TTGTTCACAAAGTATAAACTAAGAATCTATCAATAATTGATAAAAAAGATAGAAAAAACGTCACTTAGCTTATTTTCGCTCTACATACAAATTATAAATTAATATATGTGTCACTATCTTCAACCGAAGATTCAGGTACGTGGTCTATAACATTATTGGATACAGGTAAATTGTGATAATATTGGTGAAATTCATCAGGTGTAACACCTGATTTTGCAAAATTTTAGTAAATCTTTCTTCTTGCATTTTTTTGTATTTTCAAAACTTTGTTTCATCCTTTCGTGCATCCCTCTGAATAAATAGTGTGCGAGTTTGGCATATTAAGCCGAATGCCACCCTCGCCCATTGATCAATTAAATCTTTTTTTCTGGTGAAATGTATTTAGGATGGCTTAATCTTTCAATACACATTGTCTATTAGAAAATATGGTTAAAATTCAAATTCGCCATTACCAGTAATACTTTTATTTACGAATTTTCACATAAAGATTAGCTCGTTACGGCTTGACCAATCACTCGTTACAGCTTGACCAATCACCCGTTACATTTTGACAAATCACTCGTTCACCACGGAGATTCGAACATCACGTGTTATTATCTAGTGGTTGTTGAAGATTAGCTGTAAAAAGGGTGACGTAATCATCTCATGGATTTCGGAACAATCGAGAAAGGCCAGAGACAGCTCTAGTCATAACAAAACAAATGGGGTGGGCACAATGTTGCAGTATTTCAACAAACATTCAACAAAAATAAGTAGCGATAAACCACTCTCGAAATACTGGTACGTTTTCACTTGAAGTCACCGAAAGCACTACATATTTTCTCGAAAATTCTAAAATCATCATCAAAAATCATAGTCGAAATCATGCCGAAATCAATTTGTCGCTCAAAACCACAAATGCCGAAAAAAAGATCATCGTATAAAAATTAAGGTGGATATTTAGTAAAATCACCTAAATCACATAAAAAGTTTTTATTTGATTTCCAAAATACAGGTACGTTTTGACTTTAGTGCTTTCCCCTCGGTTCTGTCCTTTATCTTGTTTTGGCAGAAACACTATTAAGAATCGGACTAAATATATTTAGTAAAAATAAGTTATATGCCTATTATCTGGTTTTGGTAGACACACTTAGCAATTGAACACCATGTTATGATTATTTTTAGGTATAATTGTCACTCAATCTTGTTTGTGCATATTGTTAATGAACATATTATTATGTATATCTATTTATTATGAATATATACTTCGTTCACACTTGTAGAAATTCTACCTACTTAACTCGAAAATTTCAGAAGCAGAGCTATCTTGTTTTTGCAGTAACCCCACAAAGTTCCAAACATTTATTTAAAAATTAGCGTGCTATTTAGCGCTGCGACCAATAATACTTTATCGAGCCGCAAAAAAAGCTTGAAGAGCCGCAGGTTGTGTATGGCTGATTTAAATACATTTTATTTGACATAACTTGCTGACGATATAACACTTTTATGGCATTTTAAAGATTGAAGCAAACTTCCTGATATGGTAATCTTTTAAAAGATAATGAGTGGTGTGAGGCCAACTTTTTAACACTGAATAGTGATGAAACGAAACTTTTAAAAATATATTACCAAACTTAAAGTTGGAGTCGATAGCATGTCACGCCGACATAAAATTTTTAGGTTTAAGAATAGACTCCCATTTAAAGTTTAAATACCATGTAGATGGTTTAAATAAGAAGCTAGCCTATGGTTGTTTTTGCGATTAGATCTACCATGCATGAGAGAAATGGAATTTGCTGCAGTTAAGACTGTTTACTTTGGACCGATTTAATCTAATTTAAGGTAGGTAATACAATTTTGGGGAGTGTGCCGCAATGAATTGTTTCATAGTACATTTGTTTTACAAAAATGAGCTGTTCGTCTGCTCAGTGGCGTAGCCAGAAATTCTTCATGGGGAGGAGGGGTTCCTGAGTTAATAGCGATCAGCGCCAATACGCTAGTGAAAACGGTGACGCAAAGGTCCGCTATGGGAGGGGGTATTCTGACCCCCAAAAACCCCTCTTGGCTACGCCACTGTGTACTATGTCAAGCAAAATATTCTGCCTCCTGCAGGCTACTCTTGAAAACACATCAAATATTAACTTAACTTTTTATTTTAGAAACAGCCAGCTTAATTTATAAAAACAAAAATGTTTATACAAATATTAATAGGTCTGACAGATTTTCTGGAGATTTGGCTTTGGTTATACATAAATCTACCTTGGTCAAAGAATCAGTAATTTACCACAGCATTAAAATTTTTAATTCATTACCCTTCACTTAGAAACATGAACACTCTTAGTAATTTCAGGAAGCATCTACATGGCTACCTAGTAGGCAAATCATACTATGATATAGTTAAATTCATGACAAATATAGTAAATAATTCTATAAGTTTTATATTAGTCATAAGTTCTGTTGAGATAATTCCTTTGGCAGTGCTCTTTGGAATGCCCAGGAATGGTTCTGGTCCTATGAACTCCGATTCGGTCAAAACCCAATTACAGAGTAAGAGTACAAGAATATATAAATACAATTAATTATACAATAATATACTAATTGATTGAACAGCAGGTGAGGAAAAAAGCTAAGAGAATTATTTTTCTAACATTTTATATATATATACATAAAAATAAAGAGTTCAGAGAACATTATTATAGAAATAATACCTTATTATGAATTGAACTATGAAACAAATTAAGCTGGCAACTTACTTATTTATAATTATTACACATGGTGTATTTAGGGGATTCTGAGAAAATATTTGTTCTGGGTGTATTCAAGTAAAATGTACGGGTGTTCCTAAAAGCGATTTGAGGACCTGAAAAAATTAAGACTATGAATCAGAAATGAAAAATCAACTTTAAAATGAACTGTCTTAAATAGCAATACTACAGAATAATATTTGCGTCTTGTATCAAGACTCCAAAACTTATGTCTAAGTAGCAGATCATGATGAGGTGTACCTATAGGGGGATAAACTCAATCTTGTTTAAAACTTAAAAGTTTTAATAATCTCTGTTGGACTGCTTCAATTCTATCAATATGTACCTGATAGAATGGGCTCCACACAACTGAGGCATAATCAAGTTTAGATCTGACAAATGAATAATACAATAATTTTAGTGTCTTCGGTTCCTTAAAATCACGACTGTTACAAACGATAAATCCATACATTTTGTACAATTCTATAGGGTTGTTCATTGATAAAGTGGGATCAAATGTAATTCCAAGATCTGTGATGGTAACCGGTCTTTGAAGAATCGTGTTAACGCTATAGTTAAAAGTTAAAGAGAATTGATTCAAGATATAATACATTACAAAACATTTAGAGAAGTTAAGAGGAAGACTGTTATTGAGACACCACTCCTCAACACGCCGAAGATTATCTGAAAGCCTTTCACAGTCCTCAACCGCTTCAAAACGGCAGAAGAACTTTAAATCATCGGCGTATAGAAGAAAGTTTATATCTGTATCTAAAATATTGCTTATATCATTTATAAATGTGTTAAATAACACAGGACCTAGATTAGAACCTTATGGAACACCGGAAGTTGCCAGATATTGAGTCGACTTGAGACCGTTAATCTAAACATATTACTTTCTGTCGAAAAAGTAAAACTTAAATAAATTTATCAGCAAGTGGAAAAAACCACAGCATGAAAGTTTATTTAACATGATACCATGATCAAGCTGATCGAACGCTTTGGAAAAGTCGGTGTATATTACATCCATCTGGATTCTTTTGTCGATATTTTCTGCAATGTACTACTGTGTTACAGCTATAAGATTGGGAATGGTGGCACGGCCTTTCATGAATCCATGTTGTTCTGTTGATGTCCTATTACTGACGTGATGATAAATCTGTTTTGACGTAACATCTCAAACACTTTACAGAAATTAATAATAATTGAAATTGGACGATATTGTGTAATGTCCAATTTATCACTCTTTTTAAATAGCGGGCAGATCTTAAAGTATTTCAAGATAGACGGAATAGAACAAAATTTAAAAAAAATATTTAAGAAAACTTTTAAGGGATGAGCGAGAATAGAAGCGCAGTCTTTCAAAACAAAGGATAAAATATTATCTGGTCCCATAGTCATTTTAGATTTCATTGATTTTAACGTATTTTTAACTTTATCTTCGGTAAAAGAATTTATGTTTAAATTTGATACATTTAAATAATCTCAGAATCTGGCTTAGTAGAATCAGTGTAAGACTTACAGAAAAATATAACACACAACTATCATATCCTACAAATAACTAACCAGCTATTGATATGTCAACTCTAGGTCTCTGGCCGAATACTCCCGCTCCTATATATTTTTCATTTTTGGAGCCATCCGTCTACAACGTATAGTCAGCTTGGGAGAGAGTTTTATCCCCCTGCTCTATACTTCTCTTCTTTGAATGAGCATAATGAGGAATGAGGGATAAATTACCCTTATCTTTACATGCAAGTCCTTGGTTTTCGTAGGCCCACGTTTCCTGCATCAGTACGAAACCCTTATTGTGCTTTAGTGAATGTCCTATTCATGTCGATGCCCGCCATTTTACTCTCCATCAATGAGGATATCATCCTTATCGGTGAGGGTGAGTTCCACATCCCCTCTTCTGCTTTTAGTTCTATTTCTACATATACCAGATGAATCTACGCAAAAATTTGAGAGGTTAAGGCTCTCTATGCTCTCTATATAATTCTCATCTTTAGAAGTACTGGAAGTAGGTTCTCCCGGTTCCTTTACGTCCTTACTTTTCTTACAGGACTGATGATGGTCATTTACTGAAACTAGTCACTCGTTTAAGAAAAAATATTTCTGGTCAAGACTAAGTTTTTAACCTCTACATATTCATTAAGGAAACTGACATTTGACGTACTCTAGAGAGCTGACCAGTTCTTTATGAAACATATTTTTCTAAAAAACCATTACATTTTTGTCCATATTGTTGAATTTTATAAAATTATTTTATTATTTTAGGATTCTTACTGTAAAGCTGACAAATTAAACAAAACTGCAGCGATAACTGGTTGGGTTAATGTTACTTCGAATGATGAGACTGCTCTTAGACAGGCAATATTTACAAGTGGCCCAATCAGTGTGGCCATCGACGCTAGTCGAAAAGGATTTAGTTTTTATTCAAAAGGAGTGTATTACGATGAGAACTGGTAAGTAAAATTAATAGTACCTATATTATGTAGCAAGAGTTGTAAGTAACAGATTTCCCGCGAAGCGTAGTGCATAAGTACCATAATTTTTTTAAGACCACCATTTCTAATTAAATTAAATAAATTGGTGTTTTTATTTAATTTATAATTATAAAGAAATGTTATGAGAAAGTTCCTTAAATTAAGCCTTATAAGGACGTTTTTGGAAGAGGAGTTTGATTTTCAAAATAATCTCTGGTGGAGATTCATTATTTCATTTTCGCTATTTATTGTAGAATACATATTATTCAAATTTTTAACAAATATTTGAAAGAAAATTGTTTCTGAGAAAAAATTGTTTTCTCTACAAGCATAATACAAAACTACAATTTTTAAAATATTGTTGATTAAGAAATAAATCACATTTCCTTAGTTGATACTTTTGATAACAAAAAATAATAATTTTCGTAACAGATCCTTATCTTATAACACAAAAGTAGTCATTCCCTAATTATTTTAATAAAATTGTATATGCCTAGAAATGTCTAATATTAAATAATTATCTAGAATAAACTTTTATAAATTATTAAAACTAATTAAAAATGGGTATCAGATTATTATAGCCATAGAAAAAGTATAATGTTTAACTCACAAGGAACGATTATTTCTTTGCTCGTTAAATTGATATAAATAATATGACACTATGTTTATATCCTACAAATAAGAAATTTTAATATAAAAACTAAATTATGTATAACAGGTATGTTGCCTGTCTTTTGGAACATCATACAAATCTAAAATTTTGTGCATTTTATATTGTAAATTGACAATAAATATAAAATACAGTTTTCTCATCAAGTGTACTTTTTTAACATTTCCCAAAAACATGTATGTTATCTAGAGCCAGCATTTTTGAAGACGCGATTTACAGGGGCGGAAGTTGAAAAATGGAAGAGGCTATTTATTAACTCTTAATATCTAAATTTTAATGATTTATTTACATTTTAGCGGAAACAAAGATGAGGACTTGGATCACGCAGTTTTGGCTGTTGGTTATGGAACCATTGATGGTCAAGACTACTGGTTAGTCAAGAACAGTTGGTCTACCTATTGGGGAAATGACGGTTATATTTTAATGTCCGCCAAGGATAACAACTGTGGTGTAATGACCACTCCTACATATCCAGTAATAGCTAACTAACTTTGTGTTATTTAAGTATTTTGAATTTAACTATATTTATAATAAACTTTAAATAGGTAATACTTTCTTTTTATTATTTACTGGAGAAAGAAAAAGTCCTTTATATCACAAAATATGTACATTTTAGCATTAAGTGGACTGTCATTATTAAGTTCAATCTTTATTGGATGCTCAATTTCTTGTTGTGCTTTAAAATTCAGGAATGTTCCATTAACATTTATATAATTTTATAGGTTTGAGCAAGTACTTCGGATATTTGTATCGGTAATAAGGTTATTTTGATACTGCAGAGTTCGTATATCTACAATAACGCTTTTGCCAGACACCTACCGAATTTTATTCAAAATTTTCATAGTTAGGAGTATTTACGTTATTGCTGGACTAGGATTGACACCTTTTTATTTCCCAAAACCCGGACATGATCAATCCATGCTAGGAAATACATATAATCCCCATACCTACTTTATTATGATTTATTTTGAAAAATAAAACACTGCACTTATTTATAAAATTTAGTTTATTGAACTAGAGGGCATGATTACAGGTAGGTATCTACAAATTAACTTCTAAATTTTTGGAAAAAATTAAATATCTAAAAAATTTGAAATTATTACATACCCTTATTTTATTTTACATTTTTAAACAATAACAAGGAAACAGTAAAAAACAGATCTTCTATCTCATTTTTTAAATCTAGGTACTTTATAAAGTAGGAAATGAAAAAACAAAAACTTTTGAAGATATATAAAGCTTGGCAGTCTATATTATACTCTTCACAGTTCAATAAACACCTCCCTCCCTTAACCATCTATTTTTAATCACATTTTTTTTCGCCTTATAGAGCTTGATTTTTATTATAAATCACATGTTGATATCGCTATTCGTTTTTGATTTTTTTTTATTTCAACTCCCATTTTTAATCAGATTTTTGCAAAATCAATAAGTTCCGTCCCCTTATAGAGCTTAATTAATAATAATAATAATAATAATAATAATAATAATAATAATAATAATAATAATAATAATAATAATAATAATAATAATAATAATAATAATAATAATAATAATAATAATAATAATAATAATAATAATAATAATAATAATAATAATAATAATAATAATAATAATAATAATAATAATAATAATAATAATAATAATAATAATAATAATAATAATAATAATAATAATAATAATAATAATAATAATAATAATAATAATAATAATAATAATAATAATAATAATAATAATAATAATAATAATAATAATAATAATAATAATAATAATAATAATAATAATAATAATAATAATAATAATAATAATAATAATAATAATAATAATAATAATAATAATAATAATAATAATAATAATAATAATAATAATAATAATAATAATAATAATAATAATAATAATAATAATAATAATAATAATAATAATAATAATAATAATAATAATAATAATAATAATAATAATAATAATAATAATAATAATAATAATAATAATAATAATAATAATAATAATAATAATAATAATAATAATAATAATAATAATAATAATAATAATAATAATAATAATAATAATAATAATAAATAATAATAATAATAATAATAATAATAATAATAATAATAATAATAATAATAATAATAATAATAATAATAATAATAATAATAATAATAATAATAATAATAATAATAATAATAATAATAATAATAATAATAATAATAATAATAATAATAATAATAATAATAATAATAATAATAATAATAATAATAATAATAATAATAATAATAATAATAATAATAATAATAATAATAATAATAATAATAATAATAATAATAATAATAATAATAATAATAATAATAATAATAATAATAATAATAATAATAATAATAATAATAATAATAATAATAATAATAATAATAATAATAATAATAATAATAATAATAATAATAATAATAATAATAATAATAATAATAATAATAATAATAATAATAATAATAATAATAATAATAATAATAATAATAATAATAATAATAATAATAATAATAATAATAATAATAATAATCATAATAATAATAATAATAATAATAATAATAATAATAATAATAATAATAATAATAATAATAATAATAATAATAATAATAATAATAATTAATAATAATAATAATAATAATAATAATAATAATAATAATAATAATAATAATAATAATAATAATAATTAATAATAATAATAATAATAATAATAATAATAATAATAATAATAATAATAATAATAATAATAATAATAATAATAATAATAATAATAATAATAATAATAATAATAATAATAATAATAATAATAATAATAATAATAATAATAATAATAATAATAATAATAATAATAATAATAATAATAATAATAATAATAATAATAATAATAATAATAATAATAATAATAATAATAATAATAATAATAATAATAATAATAATAATAATAATAATAATAATAATAATAATAATAATAATAATAATAATAATAATAATAATAATAATAATAATAATAATAATAATAATAATAATAA